CGTTACGATGAAGACGATCCTTTCCACGAAGGAGTCTCCACGCCCAGGTCAGATTCGGGGGGTGTCGATTTGGGAGAAGGGTTTAGGGTTTAGGGATAAGGGTTTACTGGTTGCACTGACGTGGAACATGGGGAGACTCCGGGGAGACCACCCCGGACTTGTTAAATGATTCTTAGGTTTCGGATAGTAGTTATGGAGGTTAATTATATTCTATTTGAGAAGTATATGATACCCTAGACCCTAAACCCTAATCATATTCTAGGATGCCCAGTAGTACCCTTGTTCCCATGTTAAAGTCCTAGCTTCCCTATAAAGTTACCCAATACCAAACAGGGAGCCCTTTCTATTCCTAGGTTGCTGGGCATCCTAGTATTATGAGGTACTCGGACTCTAAACCCTAACCCTTAACCCTAAACCCTAATCATACTACCCTAGGGATCGAAATAGCCCAAAAGCCTTATATAGTATGGTCTTTGGGCCAAAAAGCCTTAATATATGAGTCCTTGGATCCCTAAGGTTCGGTACTCGGAGCCTGAGGATACGGTTGATGATATAAATCCTGCATTACCCATAATTAGGAATATACCATAATTCCCATAGTTTAGGGTCCTTAAGGTAATGCAGGATTTATATCTTCAACCGTAGGACTCTGGAATCCGACCTCAGGCGCCATCGAGGCTGTACCAAGGAGGCCGCTGCAGTCCAACGCTGTCGTTGGGCTTAGGCTTTTGGGGTTTGGGGGTTTGGGGTTTTAGGGCATTAGGTTTCTGGGGTTTAGGGTTTCAGGGTTTAGGGTTTAGGGTTTTAGGGCTTTTGTGGTTTAGGGGTTTACGAGATGAGGTTAGGGCTTTAGGGCTTGGGCGTTTTGGGGTTTCGGTTTTAAGGGTCATGGTTTTAGGTTTTTTGGGGGGTTGGAACCTGGGGTTTTGGGGTTTAGGTGTTAGGCGTTTACGGTTTTAGAGTTTTGCGGTTTAGAGTCTATTCCGGGGTTTAGAATTTGGGGGTTTTAGGGTTTTGGGGTTTAGGGTTTGGTGTTGTTTTTAGGATTGGTGCTTGAGGGTTTAGGGGCCGTGTAGGGTTTTTTGGGCTTTGTGGTGTAAAGTTTGGTGTCTTTGGTTTTGGTGGTTTAGGCTCTATGGATTTGGGGGATCTTCACAAGCCGGGGATGGTAATATGTACAGCAGCAAGCCTACACTATACTAAAGTGACAACAAATTTGGGAAATCGTTCGAAACCCTATGGCAATGGCAAGAACCATAGGAAAAAAAGCCGGGAGACCTCCTGAACCCTCATGAGAAAGTCCTTCAAGTCCCGAAGCCAACGCTTCAGTCAGGGAACTGCTTTGTGGAGTTTTTCCGAATGGCCTGGCGGCGAGGCCCGGGTGATTACCCAACCCTAAATCCTAAAACTTAAGGTTTAGTGTTCAGGGTGTAAATCTTCAAGTCCCATAAACCCTGCCTGAGCCTGAAAATCATGCTTATTGTTCCTTTTCTTGGCAGGGCGCAGGCGAGGAAGGTTTGAAGACAGGGAAGTTGATTGTTTCGGATATTTAGGGAACCCTGAACCCCTAAAACTCTACAGACCCTGTAGCCCCCAAACCTTAAACCCTATCAACCCTGTAAGCCCTGTAAACACTATAAACCCTATAAACCCTAACCCCTAAAACCTTATAAACCCTACACCCTTAAACCCTAAACCCTGAACACTCTTGGGCTGAGGCTCGGGACTTGTGGATTTAAAGCTGGTTGAGAGTCCTGGGCTCCTTCTGACGTCAGGAAGAGCTAACCTTCAGGGCACAAAGGACCCAATAAGTAGGTACTTGGGCTTGGGGTAGTAGTGGTTATGTGGGTTACTATCTTGGAGAGTATATGATAATTCGGTACTTGGATCTTCAAGGGTTCCAAGGTATATCCCGGAAAGGCAGGAGCACTTCGGGGGAGTCGGAAAACCCGTTAAGCAATGGCTTACTTGGAGGATCATGGGACTTAGTAAATAGGTTGTAATTGGGGTTACAAGTCCCCTAAGTGGGATTATCCTAACTATTATAAGCTACTTATAGCCTTACTTACTAAGTCCCATGAGGCTTTATGTAGGGTATAGAATAGGGTTTGCACAGCCGACCGCCAATTCCTCAAGTAGTCCCGAAAGACAGCAGCCTGGGGCATCCTACCCAAGAAGAACAAGCAAGCCCCAAACCCCATGACCCTAAACCCCAAACCCCAAACCCAAATCACACGCGTTTGCGAAACAGCCTGGCCGCTGCCTAAACCCTGAACCCTAAAACCCTAAACCCTAAACCCTAAAACCCTAAAACCCTAAAACCCTAAACCCTAAAAGCCCTAAACCCCTAGCCGTCACGTAGGGGGAGACCTACACGGCGACGAAGATTGGAGGCTTTCAATCGGGCTTGGGGAAGCTTCCAGGTTTCCTTCAAGGGTTCCTTTAAGGTTTCCGTGAAGGGTCGTACTATAAGGTACTATAGGTTCAAGGTTTTAGGGTTGGACAGTTTTGGTTTCAGGGTTTACTGATTACTGTTCAGCAGGTTTAGTTTTAGGGTTTAGGGTTGAGCGGTTTGGGTTTCAGGGTTTACGGCTGCTTGGCAGCTTGCGCTTTAGGGTCTTTAGGGTTTCAGGGGCTTGAGTTTCAGGGTCAGGGGTTTGCGCTTCAGCCGTTAGCGGTTATGGGCTTATGGAAAGGTTTGGCCGTTTTTGCCTGCCCAACGGCATCTAATCAAAGGCGATCAGCCCCAACTTATTGGCTACAGCCCTCATGATCGAGGCTGCTGGGTCCACACATTAGGCATACTTCCAAAGGCTCCATGTACCCATATAGTATGTACTTAGGCCTTAAAGTAGCCAGATAGGGACCCCTTTAAGGCTTAAGTACCTACTACATGGGTACATGAAGCCTTAAGGACTATAGAGGGGCTGACGCTTCAAGATTCCCAACCCATAGAGAGCTCCCACAGAACCCCTTAGCCGCTAACTTCGGGGTTTCCAAAGGGTCCTAGGTGCTGCTGCGGGGGGAACTTCCCAAATCAAACCAATAATTCCTAAAATAGAAACCCGACATCCTGCTGTATGGGCAAGTAGGACGCTTTGGGGTTGGAGGTAGTTTGGAATACCGGGTCCCCTGCTGTTCCTGGATGTTGCTGGCCGCCGGCCGCCGGCCCCTTCGGACTGTTGACAGGGCTTTAGAGTTGTAGAACTATAGAACTTCAGGGTTAAGGGGGTTCTAGGCCTAGGGCTCTTTAGACGAGCTTCAGGGTCAATCTGGGGTGTTAGCGGCTTCAGAGCTTGGAGCGTGTGGGATGCATCACGCTCTCCACTATTGAGCGCGGACATGATCATCCCGCAGATGTGTACTGGCGCAAGAGCACTGGGCTCTGTTTGGCAATGGTTGCCAAAGCGTATGCATGTGTGCTTTCAAACAAGACGAGCGGGCTTCACCAAAAGGCAGTCCCGACGGATCGCGAGGAAAAAGACGGAGAGTGGAACGTAGGCAAAACAAAAACTCTGCACTTTTCGGTCGCCACGTACCCTTTCAAGTGCCTTCTCTGGACTTATTTTGCGCCGAGCGCATCCGGAAAACAGATGCTTGTGTCGAAGAAAGTTGCTTGCCAATGGCTGAAAGGGAGTTCGCTACGGTTCGTAGAATCGTCGGACAGGGTGGCCTGGAGTGAAAGTCAGATACAGGAAGTTGTTGGGGTCATCCACCGAATGTTGGATGCCACAATAGGGTTACATCCTGGAGCTTGGCAGTCAGCCTTCGAGATGCTCGAGATAGGAGCTGTCCGCAACATCAGACTGACTTTTAGCACAAAGCAAAGGCGCAAAGACCAAGAAGTCTCTTGTTTGGCAGGTTTCCGGGAATGTTACGTTCCAGGGCTTTACTCCACGCCGCTAAACAAAAGCCATCTTACGAAACCCCCACATCCCAAACCTCAGACCCGCAACGGTTGATGATATGTATATCCTGCATTACCTTTATGACCCTAGACTGCAGGAACTATGGTGGATTGCTTATTATCGGTAATGCAGGATTTATACCATCATTTGACGCTCTTCGATTGGAAAGTTCTCTGCGTGTCAGCGGATGCTGCAAGACTGGAACAAAGCTTTGAGCCCGATCAAGTTCTGGGCGTATTACAACTTGCGGTGCTACGTTTTTGTGGCAGTCTGTCAATGTAGTACAACACTAAAGCCTGAATGCCCTAAACCCTGTAGAATCTAAACGATGATAAGTCTATATATTCCGATAGAAACACAAAAGCAAACTTTCCATCCGCAAGGCCCCAAGCCCGAACGAGGTCGTTACAGAGACCTCTGCAAGGACCCATTACAAATCCACTGTAAATATCTATAACACCCAAGGAAACTCTTGCAATCCCTAAGCGCAGCGATAAAGCCCCTGCGCAAAGCCAGGAGCCAAGTGTACGACTTCCTCACCAACGGCATCTTGCATGCAACCATTCTCTGGACTAAGCCCCGCTTCAACTGTCCTGTGGTGGGATTTCTTTTTGGAGTTTGCTGACTTCGACGGGTCTTATGTCTGAGGCTGCTTTGGAGGAATGGCTTTCATACAGGGCTTGTGAATGTGGCCTCCTCACATGCTCTAACCAATGGCCAAGGGACAATCCGGCCTTCATTGCAGGAGTTTCTGAGTGGGGGTTAAGTCTAATCCCAAAGAGTCCGAGGTATTGCTATGCGGCAGACTTTCCCAAATAACAGTATTTCCTAATATAGAAACCGAACATTCTACTATGCCGACAACGCGGAGCCTTTGGGGTTGGGGTTTAGGGGTTTAGGGTTTAGAATTTATAAAGGGTTTAATGAGGATCCCTTTTGGAACTCGGATCTACTGTCGGCTTCGAGGCTCTGAGTCGAACTTCACGCTGCGCACTTGAAAGGCATAGGTAAGGAGGGACCGCCACGGTGAAGGCTTATAGGGTTTAGGGGTGTGAGGTTTTTAGGGCTGACACTGTAAACTTGCAGCCAGGGATGTCAGAGTTTCGTGGTCGAGTCACATTCAGAAAGTTTCCTTACAAGGTTCTCAACAAGTGCATGCTCATCAGCTATCACTTGCGAGATGCTTCCGATCTGCGAAAAGTCATGAGACATGCCATATGTGCTGCCGAAGCGCGTCACGAAAACTTTACTTCAACAGTTTTCTGATCCTTCGAAAGCCGGAAACCAGCGCCACCAAGCTAGCGCGAACTCGTTTGACACTGGATGCAGCTTTGATGTTGCATCGCCGTCAGGTCCACAAGGCTTGAATGGACGGTTGTGTGGTACATCATTACAGATTCTTCTGTCCAGGTCCACCATGACTTTGAAGTGATACGATGTGTCCCACGGTGATGATATGTTTCGGTGTGCTCAAGAGCTGCATGCTTTGTGGCGGGCTTCCGGGCAGGCAGAAGCCGTTGCATTTGAGGCAGACATCCAAGAAGCCGCGGCTAAGGAACGAGATCTCCTCTCAAGTATCTCGAAAACTTCGTCGACCCACTTGTCTCCGAGCGTTGTCATCGGCAGCGGGGCAATGTTCACATGGAACATCGCCACAGGATCCGTAAAGCAACAAAACAGCCCTATAACTGCCCAACCTCCCCGCAGAGACCGAGACTAGTCCTGGGTCCTGCAAACCCAACTAACTCGCTAAGCCCATGAGTAGGTCCCCCTAAACCCTAAACCCTAAACCCTAAACCCTTGAGTAGGTGAAGGCTTCAGGGGCTCCAGATCTGAGGGTGTTTGGGCTCCCAGGGCACTCTAAACCCCGGAAGGCTGAATAGATCAAAGGGAAAAAGGAGGGACCCTTAATGCGGACCCCTACCCTATAATGGGCTATATAATGGGTATATAATAGCTAAATTAAGGGTATATACCTAGGGGTCCTTATTAAGGGTCCCTCCTTGTACCCTTGGAATAAAACTAGATCCAGACCCTCAGTTCTCCGTGCTCGAGGCCGCACATCCAGGGCCCACACCCTGAGCCCAAAGCTCCAAAAACTTCTGCCTGAACCCCGAACCGATTGAACCGACCCAAACCCCAGCTTAGCCGAGGCCCAGCTGGCGATGCTTCTTACGATGGCTTCGATGCGGAGCATACCCAGCCCATCCTCCAGGCGACTGCCTCTGGAGGAACCCTTCTATAGGGACTCAGTAAGTAAGTACCTTAACTAATTGGGTTTATAAGTATAGTTAGTCACTTTACTTATATCTCCAGGTACTACAGTGAAAACCCTGTATAAGAACCCCGTTCGGCGAGAGTAGGGTACCCTAAGGTTCTTGATTTCCATTACATGTGATTTTGCCGTTCGAGCAGCTTATTTAGGCTCAGGTTCTTAACCACGTTCTTATCCGGACCGAGGTCTCGGGAAATTTACTCTTGTGGGGGTGGATGGGCCAGGGGGTCTGGAAAATTTAGTTTTCAATTCTAAATTTCCACAGCTCTTCGAAAGGAATCGGGGCAGAGGGCATGGCCAGAGACCCCCCAGAAAATTTACTTTTGGATTCTAAATTTCCTTGGGGGTGGATGGGCCATGGGTGTGGCTTGGGCCGGGGACCACAGGGCCAGGAGGAGGCTGGTGTGGAAAATTTAGATTTCAATTCTAAATTTCCACAGTTTGGTGGCAAGGGGCTCTGTTTCAGTGGAATACGAGCTGCGGGGCACCGTCCCGCAGCTTCATGCCACGCCCGGGGATTGAAACAAAGACCTCCCGCAGCAGGGCCTATGTCAGAACCACTGCGCTACAGGGGAGCCGTGCTAAGTTGGTTTTTGTCCCCCGAAACTGTGCGAGGGGTTTTTGGGGTCGGGAGGAAGGGCTGGAAATTTACTTTTGGATTCTAAATTTCCTGATGCCGTCGGTGTGGGTCGGAGCCTTGGGCCTGTAGGAGGCTGTGAAAAATTTAGATTTCAATTCTAAATTTCCACGGTTTGGTGGCAAAGCCTCTGTTTCGGTGGAATGCGGGCTGCGGGCGAGGGGGTGCTGTGCTGGAAACCTTGAACACTAAATCCAGCAGTCGTAAAAGAAAAAGTAGTAAGTAGTACTACTACCGCTGCTGCTGCTACTGCATGGAAGCACAGGGCTCGGGGTCTGGGTGGTTTCCTGGTGCCTTGGGGTGCTGGAGGTTTGGGAAATTTTTGATTTCAATGCTAAATTTTCAGATTCTGATACCAATGGGGATCGAACACGAGCAATTACCTCTCGAACCCATGCACAACCACTGCGCTGCGGCATGAATGCTGTTGTCTAGCCATCATACAATCTGTATGTTCGGGCAGAGGGTTTCTTGATGTGGAAGGTTGTGAAATTTAGTTTTCGATTCTAAAATTCCTTGGTGAGGGAAAGCACCCAAAACATTAAGAACTTGACCCGAAAAACTAGGGTACCCTACGGTTCTTAATATTGAGGCAACTTGAATCTGGTGAATTCCGCCTTGGGTAGGGGCTCAGGTTCTTAAACAGTGGGTTCTCTTACAGTATTTTCACTGCAAGTCACATGATCGATTTTAAATAGTACAGGACAGGACAGGAACCCCTTTATTAGAACCCTTGAAGGAACCCCATTTAGGCCATCCTACTTTTGAACCCTTTGAGGCCCCAGGACCCCTCGAGGCCTCGGGTGTCGGAGCTTGGGATCCAAGGCCCAGGACCCCGACTAGGTTCCTGGGTAGTACCCTTTTGCACTTTTTCTTTTGGATCCCCTTATAAAAGATTGAATACTGGGAAAAAGGGTGCCCTTATTATCGAGGGGTTACTCCGGAACCTAGCCGATGCTGGGTTTCGTCGGGTCCCGGCCTGTCGAGTCTGTCTTCCATTGTCATGGAAGTAGACTGTTGATTCTGGTTTGGGGTTTATATTTTAGAGTATAGGGTTTAGGGTTTAGAGTTTCGGGTTTAGGGTTTAGAGTTTGGGGGTAGCCGGACTCTCAATATCGTTAGAAACATGCTCTTTCCCGTCTTGTTGACGGAGAGTTGCTTCGTGTAGGGTTCAAAAGCACTTAAGATGAGACTCGGCTGAAGTATCGTGAGTACACGCTGCAAATCACAACAGAAGACTCACAAGTCTTGCCGGTAGTTGCGCCTGAGCCCTTTTAGGATAAGATACCGAGCCTCTGAATACTTGCTTCTTTCACGCTAAGACTCCGCATATAGATATCATCGGATATAAGGCTTACTTTGAGGTCTGCGAGAATTGATGCCTACTTTGGTGTCCCCCGTCGAATCGAGCGTGTTAAGCACCCTCCCTGTGCTAACTACTTGTATAAATATTTCAATCCACCTGAAGTAGCCGATGAATGCTGCGAAGAGAAACCAACCCTAGACAATGGTTCCCATGTGTCAACCATGTGGCCGCAGTCCTTGCGCAGGCCGATGGAGCGCAGCGGCAGGTGAAGTCGATTTGCCGCAGCGCCCACGCGATCCTGATCGAGAGGCAGGGTGAGGGTTTACTGCCCTAAGGCTCCATGTATCCATAGTATATACTTGGGCCTTAACGGACTGCCTGCAGCAATTGCCGGCATTGTGGATTACCTACAGCCTTAACTGTAGGTACCTTTGGACGGCTACCGTAGTCTGAGTCTATTATTGCCCCAAAACTGCAAAGAAGTCATCCGATACAAGGTACTGCATTTGAGGGTCTAGGTACATGCATGATATTGTCAATAGGGAATTAGGTAGTCAACCCTACACCCATCATCCTGCCATGTAAAACCTTGTCCACGTCCTGGTTCATGCTCAGTATGTTGACCCTGAACGGTGAACGTCTGTGGATGCCAATGGCCTTCCTACGCACTCCAGGGAATTCTTACATAGTAGGATGAGATAGACAGAGGCCGAAACCCTAACCCCTAAACTTGAAGAAATGAAACTTTACGCAGGTTGAGCAACCAAGGTACATGCCGCGGGTTTCGCAAGCCGTTCTAACTTGGCAGCGTGGCCAGACGGCGATTTGGTTCTGTGTTTGCCTAGAGATTCGGGAATGGGTTCTATTTTAAAACAAAGGAATGACCCCTCTGCAGTATAAGATATACTGCTTTTAATTGGGGTTGTTGGACTGGGGTGTCGGGTGAGTCGGCAAGGTTGCTGAGGGTCATGTGCTCAGGTCTGTTCAGGGGCTGCGGTGTCGGGTATATCCTTTGAAGCTGGACGAGCACACTTTAAACCCAGAATTAGGGGTAATGTAACCCCCTAAACGAATCGAACGTTCATATACAGTTTTGTGCTTATGAACCGGCACTCTGATGAAGTTTCAGCCTTTGCAAAAAACCATCGGGAGCCTTCCGGGCATGAAAGGGGAGTGGGGGTTATTATAGGGTTTAGGGTTCAGGAGTGTAATTCGGTTTTAGGCGGTTTAGGGTGGAGGGATTAGGTTAAGGTTACCTTAACTTGAGGTATCATATTTCCTTTCAAGCAGGCCATATCCGGCCCTGATCAAGTCCATGTTTGGGGGGGTAGTGAGGCCCCTAACCCCCCGTCGCCCCCCACCACCTGAAGCTCCGCCAGGCCCTTCGACAAGACGCAAGACCGATGTGAACCTCGTCTTGCAAGACTTGGGCTACTGATGTTGGTATATCTATAATATGTAAAACGTATATATATATATATATATATATATATACACATACACATAAACATGCAGCACCAGCTAGCGCCCTTCTATTGCCGAAAGCAGGAGCCCTCAATCCTAACCCCTGCGAACCTATGGATGTGGAGGGGCTGATTCATTCATAATGCAATACCTGCCAATATCCTTTCTTTGGGTGCCTCATTGTAGCTTTTGTATGCTATAGCCGTTATAGTATACAGTAAGCACCATAAAGTTGGAAACTGGATTAAGGCCAAATAGTGCTGGGATTCCCTATACATTACTCTTAAGGATGGAGGCTCTGGGGTTTCCAATTTTTGGGCTTCTACTCTAGGGTGAGGCTGACTTCGGGAAGCTTTGTCTGCAACGCCGAGACGTGTTTCTGAAATGATCCGACGGTTGAGGTTTAGGGGTTTAGGGGTTTAGGGTTTAGGGCAACTAAGATATATTTGTTCGTTGATGTTTTCGTACCTAGATAACTTTAGATACACCACCAACTACTGTCATTGAGCCCTATACCCTGAGCAGTGCAGTCTATACTTTGGATCTCAAGCGTGGCTTCATTATAGGGGTAAGGGACTGCCCATTAAGCCAAAGTCAATGACGTCACCATCTGAGAAAGCATGCAAGTCCTACAGATTTTGTCGACAGCGCACCTAAGTCATGCTAGCTGGTCACACGCAGTTCGAACGTAAAGCCACCTACATACTTGGCTAATTAACAGATCACCAATCTCTTCAAGCCTGCTTGACGAAAATGAGAACGAGCCCTACAACAACAAAAGCCTGAACCTCGTTAAAGCTGTATAGAATGCTAACACAAAGCCCAGACAGAAGCAGGAAACATAAACACTTAAAGCAAAGGATAACATCCAAAGCCCACGACTCCTCAAACTGGCCCTGAACCCGTTCAGTCACCTAAAGCGGAGTCATAGCATTCTGAACCAACAGACCTAAGTAGAGAGGCTTGAAAAACGAATGGCAATATCACCTTTTATAGGCTTTTCGTCAGTATTTAGACATAGAATATGCATGTGTGTGTGTGTGTATATGTGTGTATATATATGTACACACATGCATACATATGTAGTTGGCACAAACGTTGATATCTAGATGTATCGTATACACAATATCGATTTGTATGTGCGTGTGTGTGTGTGTATGCATGCATGTCTGAATGCATATAGATATTTATAGGTTTATGTAGATGTACATATCTATATATATATATATATATACATAGATATGTAAGGATGTATGTACGTATGTATGCATGTGTGCAATGTGTGTATATATGTGTGTACGTATGCATGTATGTGTGTCTGCATGTATGCTCGTATGCTTGTATGCATGTATGCACGTACGTACTTATGGTAGGTAGGTAGGTAGGTATGTATGTATGTATGTATGAATGTATGTATGTATTCTCCACGCCCTAGTCTACTTCTTCAGGCCCCTTTATCTAACCCTTGTTAAAAGATCCTTCGCAGATATCGTGCACACTACTTGTAGCCCCTACAGAATTATGGAACCCTAGTCCAAGGTCTAACAGAACTGTAGCAATAATTTAAATCTCAGAACCCTCAAACCTCCTCATGACAAAAACGCACCCAAACCTGAAACACCGACGTAAGAAGCAACCTTAAACTTTGGAAGGACATCCCTAAAACCTGAACCCTAAAAGCGTAACACCTTAAGCAAGCTGATAAGAGACTGCTGTAAGGTCGAGTCGTCATTCAACGACTACATGGAGAATCAGTGCCTCAGTGTTCGTGTTGTTGTGCTTTTGTTGTTCTCGGTCTAAGGTTTAGGGTTTAGGGCTGGGGTTTGGGAAAGGTCTGCAGCACGGTATGGGGTTCAGGCGACAAGGCACAGCTGGGCAGTCGGATTCGGGTGATATATCTGCTCACCTCGCAGAGCTTAGGCTCTGGGTTTATAGTGCACCAGCGTCATCACACAGCTCATGACGGATAGGCTTCATTTACATGAGAGACAGCGATCGTGTTATTTCTATGAAGTTATTTCTAATACTGATAAGGACGATGCTGATGAAGGTGGTGAAGACCATGGTGACGGTGATGATGTCGGCGACGTTGATACCACGCCCTGAGATGTCCCGACCCAAAGAAGAAACCGCCGATTCTTCAACCCTGCGCCCTGCCCTGAACCGTAGGCTCATGCAAGAGCTTCTGACAAACGACTCCTATACAGTACCTCCTTCCCATCGAATTGGTGAGGTAATTACAGAAAAGGGAGCCCTCAAACCGTAGCTGTGTTGGGCTGCTAATCCTTAGAGAACTAGGTATGGCACTCGGACCTTCGTATTTTCGACCCTGTTGGCCTTGAAGAGGATCCATTTACGAAATTGGTCCTGCCCTAAACCCTAAATCCTCAACCTCTAACCCCTAAACCCCAAACCCCGAATCCTAAACCTTCAGAATCTGCTCGCCTTCATTTCATGGATCTCAGGGCACAGAGGTGGACAAGACAAGCATGCGTGCCTCTCAGAGACGCTCCGCTTCTGAGGAGATCGCTTTTCTCCAAAGGAACATCCAGGTACCCTGCTTGGAGAAGATGCCGTTTCAAACAGTCGTCAACGACGTGCTCTCCCAGCACAAAGAAGATGTGCGCATCAGCAGTGCCCAGTTAGAGCTTCTGCAAGCAGCTACAGAATCCAACGGAAGCGATTTCTTGGTGCGCGGGGGGATGGCCGCCCAGCACCGTGGGCGTGTAACAGTCGAACCCGGATCAACAACACTGCCTTCATGCCAGTCCTGCCAGCGGCTTTAATCTCGACCAACAAATCTGCACAGCCTTAAAAAGATGGGTAGTTGTCAACTCGTTCCGGGAGCACGTCCCGAACTGCGTTCCAGAATGCACGCTTTACCTGCCGCGTACCGACGCCACTAAGATCCTACACCCCTGAGACCTAATTCCCATAAACCCTAAACCCTACGCTCCAACCGCAAAACCCTGAATCGTTTCAAGTCGAACGCCCTCCCACCAGGTGCTGGATCTGCCAGGACAACATGGGTTCACGGTTTTAGGGTTGAGTTTTTGGGGTTTAGGATTTAGGGTTGTTTTTTTGGGCTTCCTTGTATGCGCGTCAGACAAGATCTCCGGAAGAGTTGAGCGTGACCAGATTTCGCAGTGACGGTGTTGTCAAGTTTGTATAGGGAACTCCAGAAAGTTGGAATATGGTTTCAGGGTAGGATACCCCATAATTTGCCATAAAGGGTTTAGGATAATCATATTCCAACTTTCTGGCTTTTACTTTATGGGGTCGCAGAACCTTCTAGGTTGAAGACATCTTCCATGTTGCCCAAGGCTATAGTCCGTTCTGACAGGCATCAAACCCTAAACCCGTAACCTTAAACCCTAAACCACAAGCCCGCAGCTGTGAGCATCCCGTACTGCAGAGGACAATCAGAGCAATGAGTTCGTGCCTCGCAAGCAAGACGTTTATTTAAACCCCCCGATAACCTTAGGGGACCCCATCAAGTTCGGTTTTGCGGGGTCCAGGCTGTTAGTGTTTTCGGATTCCGCCAATCCCAATTCTGGGTTGTGGCTTCGAGGTTTCGTCTACTTTGGAAGCTTCGACCCCCTGTTTGACCAAATGCGTCTTACGCAGAACCCTGGGAGGATTCTTAAAGTGGATCCTCCCGGGGGTTTGGGCACAAGTGTTTAGAAATGCCGCAAGCACAGCCCTGAGCCTTCAACCTTGTCATCTTTTGCCACGGTTGCAAACGCTGGACCATAAACCTTATGTCGCAATCCTTCAAGGAACCCATTCACGGAGCCTAGAGGAACATGTATAGCTGATGGACCCCCAGGGGAAACCGCAAAGGCAACCTATAAGCTTCTTACAGGCATCCTTGCAGCAAGCCTAGCAGAAACCCTAAGAAGGAACTCTGAAAAGGTAAAGGGCCCCTAAAGCAAGCTCAGGATCTGTGGCTAAGCTGCGGGCACATTTTCTGCTCAAGGCCAGATTCGTTTTCCGTGTTGGGTTTGGTGTTCAGGGTTTAGGGTTTAGAGTTTTACGCTTTAAGGTTTCGGGTTTGCAGCCCACACAACACGATTTTTCTGAGGACAGAACTTATTAAGGTAGGGCTACTGTTTAAGAGTCTAGGGTCTGCGGGGTGTTTTTCACCCTGAAACTCCGCATATTCCAAAGCTAAGACGTGTGTGTATACTTGGAGTTTTAGGGTTTGGGTTTGCTTAAACCCTGTCCAAGTAGTAAACGCACAGGCCCGACGCCTATAAGGAGTTCATATTCCTTGGTTTGCAACTCAATTCGGCTTGGGTCTCAGTGCTGTTGGTTGGGGATGGGGACTTGGATACGGCGTGTTGGGGCTTGGGGTTGGTGGTTCAGCAGACGTCCGGCACTGGGCTGAGTACATGTCAATAAATGTGTTCCTCACCGTTCCTGTTGAATCGAATTTCCTAGACCCCCCAACTACCCCTATCATGCCCCAAATACAAAAATTAAGGACCATAAGCACTCTATAGAATAGAGTCTATTCAAGGACCCTTATCATGCCCCAAATACCCAAAATTAAGGCCCATAAGGGCTCTATTAAAGGGCCCTTGGGGGGTCCTGGTTGGGAGGTGCCCAAAACTGAAGTCGTCGATCACGGTACCACGGGTTTCAGATTCTCCCAGTACCTGAAAGAAGTGGGTCCGGAGGTTTAGGGTTCATAATTAGGGCTTTAGGGTTTCGGGGTTTTAGGCTTTTAGGGTCTAGGGCTTGAGGTTTTTTGGGATTTAGGGCTTTGGGAGACAGAGTGCAACAATCGGTGTCGCGCGTTAATGAGCACTGCAGAACAAACAGTCGCTGGTTCTTGCCGGAACACCAGCTGCAACCATATTCCAAACATCCTACTCTCTATGTACATCAGGAATCCTGTGCACTGCTGAACCCTGCTGACACCCTAAACCCTTCAAACCCCAAAAATGACACCAAAAATCATCCGAAGCGGATTCCGTCCGAAAGCAGCTTTTTTACAGTGCGAAGGTGCTCCACGGAGATGCTCCGCAGGCAAAGTCGCCTATGCGGATCACGTTGATGGGTTTCAGGGTTCGGGGCTCTAAAGATATAGACGCCTCACTAATTACAACTTCCTTTCTATATACCTTCCTTGATATGAGGATCCGTACTGCAGCAATCCTTGTTCAAGGAAGGGGCTTGGTAATCGGAGGTCTGCATTAACCGTTTCGAGGTTTAGAGTGTCGTGTTTCCTCGTTTGGTCTAGAGGGGTTGAAGGGTTGAATGCGGTTAGGCGTTCTCCACTTGCTGTTCAACACGGACCCCTTCCCCAAACAGGGACGGCAAAATCCCAACATCAAGGGCCCGAAAGACATAGGGTTTGCTGGTCAGGGAATTGAGATCATATAACCAAATGCAAATTTGTGGCCCTTGCTTGTAGATAGTTGGAGAGTCAGGGCACCCAGTAGGTAGCTAGGCTAACCACAAAACCCTAAACCAAATAGGTCACAAGTCCTTTAATCTGCTGTAGTTGTAACAGTAGCTCAGTTTTAACCTAGGTCCGATCTTGCCGTTCGACTATATGGCCTGCGATTTTAAGCCAAGGCCTTCTTAAAGCCTCTCGGCCCAAAATCCGAAACTGCAAATCCCAAACCTTCTCAGATCCTTATAGTGTTTATGTATTAATAAGCGGGACAAACGTATACACAAGCTTGTAACCCCAAATGAAATCCCTCGCTAAATCCTACACCCAAGCTTCGTTTCGACTAGGCAGATGCCTTGTCCTTTGTGCCGGACAGCTTCCAGTGCCGTGCGACTGGGACTGCAGACAAACGGGACCGAATGCTTGTGTCAAACATAAGTCCGCAAAAGGTAGGTCTTTTAGGGGTTAGGGCAGGGCGTGGTGCTGTCTACCGTGTGCCCTACGGCCTCAAGGTGCTCTGGCCCGAAACCCTATAATGTAAGTATCAGCGTGTTCCGATTTTCAGTTCCGAGCTCCCAAGGGAGAACTCGGTAGTCAGTTATAAACCTTTTTGTAAAGCCTTGTTCTAATTGCTTTGGGCTGGATCCCCTCAGGGTGCTCTTGAATTCTTATTAAGGACCATAAGAGCAATACCCACTATTGAGGACCATAAGGGCTCTATTAAAGGGCCCTTGGGGGGTACCCTAGATACCCACCACTAAGGACCATAAGGGCCCCCCATCCAAGGGCCCTTTCGGGGGGGGGGGGGGTCTGGGTCATACGATTCGTTTATGACTTCGGAGCGGCACTAAAGCCAAAGCCGCGTCCAAGTTGTTCAGGGAAATGGGGTTTAGGCTTAAGGGGATTGAGGGCTTAGGGGTTTAGGGTTTAGAGGCTTAAGGGGTTTAGGGTTTAGGGGTTTAGGGTTTGGGGGTTTAGGGTTTAGGGGGTTTTAGGGGTTTAGAGTTTAGGGGGTTTTAGGGTTTAGGGGTTTAGGGCTTAGGGGTTTAGGGTTTAGGGGGTTTTAGGGGTTTAGGGTTTAGGGGTTTAGGGTTTGGGGGTTTAGGGTTTAGGGGGTTTTAGGGGTTTAGGGTTTAGGGGTTTAGGGTTTGGGGGTTTAGGGTTTAGGGGCTTTAGGGGTTCAGAGTTTAGGAGTTTAGGGCTTGGGGGTTTAGGGTTTAGGGGGTTTTAGGGGTTTAGAGTTTAGGGGTTTAGGGTTTGGGGGTTTAGGGTTTAGGGGCTTTAGGGGTTTAGGGTTCTTGGGAGTGTTTTCTAACACGTTCTGGTGGGGGGGTCTTTAGAGGGATATTTGGCCCCTATTTGGTTTTCCATCTGGGCCTTAGTCGTTTTGTATTTGGTGTTTATTTGTTTCCTTTTTGGTTCTCAATCGGGTCCTTCATTTGTCCCCACATTGTCTCCGAATTGTTTCTGTATGGGTAGTATGGTTTTCAACTTGTTCCGCTTTTGGTACTTGTGAGGTTCCTGTCAGGCTCCTTTACTCGGCTCATGAGATTCGCTCCATAGTGTTATGGGGTATTTCGTGTAATGTCAGGGGTTAGGAACTCAATTGGGAAGAATCATAAGTGGAAGCCTGTCCTAATTCTGGTCGGTTGTTAGCTGAAGAACCGGCCCGGAACTGGGCCAAGCCCGCCGAAGATTTTACCTTTAACCGGGCCCCGAATTTGGGCCAACTTGGATCCAAATGAGGGCCAATTTTTGTTCCTTAAGCCGACCCCGATAAGGGCCAAATCCGGTACCCAGACAAGGGCCAAGTCAGGGCCAACTCGGTCCGTAAGCCGGCCCGCATACGGGCCAAACCCTGGACCCAAATAGGGGATTCCTTGGGAGTATTTGGAGGATCATGGGACTTAGTAAGTAAGGTTATAAGTACCTTAATTGGGGTTATAAGTATAGTTACTTTACTGATAACCCTAGTTACTACGTCCCATGATCCTTTCAGTATGCACATTTGGCCTTGATCTGGTGGCAGGGATTTGGCCCTAAGCTGGGCCAGGTTCAGGCCCAAATCTGGCCTGGATTTGGCTGTTATTGGGGGCAACCTGGGCTTATGTTTGACCTTTAGTGCTGTTGCTGTTGGTGTCTTCTTCTTGTTCTTCTCCTTCTCCTCCTTCTTGATCTTCTTGTTGTTGTCATATCCACGAGGGTGTAGGCACGGCTCTTTACGGTAATTACGTGTTTAATCTGGTTAATTGTGTAATCGCACTACAGTAGTGATTGGACGAGCAGGATGCTCGTTGACGATGACCGTGACGATGATGATACCGCTCTCGCTGCTGTCCCTCAACCCGAATATGCCCAAACTCGGCCCAATGAAGGCCCAAATAAGGCCCAGATGAAGGCACACATAAGGCCTAAGCGAAGGCCCAACTAAAGCCCAAACAAGACCCAACTCCATGTAAAGACTACCTCATCGAGCGTCCGCAACATCGGCCTGTACAAGAATGCGTAGCACTCAACCTCGAGCATGGACAGCCGCCACATATGGATCATCGAAGTATGAGTCTCGAAGATTTCTATAATGGCGGTTTTTGTAGAGCGCACAGCATGACGGGGCTCCGTGTGTTTTTTGCCCGCTTGCTGGTCTGTGGTCTGGTTTAGGACTGCCAAAGCTAAGGTTGCATGCAAAAGATGCCCGTACCTACACGGTAAAGAATTTGGCCTGAAAGAGTTCCTAGTATAGGTTGCGTAAAGTCCGCGTGAGTATACTGGTTGCTTTAAAGAGATGAAGTACAAAGCCCTACACGGCGCATGGCGGGCTCTAATTGGCAAGGGCACTCCTTCCTGTAGCACTAGGGTTTCAACTCCGAGGGTGGGAAGCACTGACAGTCTGAAGCTTGGGCGTTGGACATGCTTGGACATGTAGCCGTCACGAAGCATGCTCTTATATGTCACGTCCACGATAAGCACTGACATTTAAAGCCCTGTGGCTTACGTTTTCATCCTTACAGCCTTAAGCCGACACCCTGAAACCCCTGAGCACTGAATCCGTTTTGATTCCTCCCTCCCGTCTTCTTTAGTCCCCCAAGCCCCTTAACTCTGCAATTCCTAAGCCAGTAAACCCAAAGCCTTAGACCCTAAACCCCAACAGCTCCCAAACCCTAATCCACAAACCCCAAAACCCTAGACCGCAAACCCTACAACCCTAAATACCCAAAGCCCTGAACCCTAAGCCCAGCGACCTTAACGAAACCCTGGCTCTCTCTTTTAAGCCCCCTGTTCCAAGACCTCCCAATAGTCCTGCAACACACCCCACACACCCACAAACGAGGACCGTAACGACTTCTTCAAAGGGCAGTTGGGGGATCCTTCCCTAAACCTTTAAATGCACCCTCCAGTCTCCTCGACGCTTCGCGGCCGGAGCTTAGCACTCTAAACCTAAGCCTAATTCCCTAGAGGCTGAAGCTCTATGTAAGCCCCCAAAACCCCAAACCCCTAAACCCTTCAACCCTAAAACCTCCAAACCTAAACCCGAAAACCCTTAAACCCGTAAGCCCGTAAGCCCGTAAACCCCAACCCCAAGATTTACCCTAAGGGTCCATGTACCTAAATAGTATATACATTGGCCTTAAAGTAGTCCCTATATAGGTACATTGGGTCAAAGTATAAACTATTTGGGTTCATGGACCCTTAGGGTTACTGTAAAGCCCTTCAAACCCCTCAACCCTCGACCCTAAAACTTCAAAACCCCCAAGCCCCTAAACCCTAAAACCCCTAAACCCGTAAACTCCCCCTAGACCCCCCAGCTGCCCTTTATTGTAGCCCCGAATTACCAATTAATGGGAAATATCAGAGCCCTTTAGAGGGCACTTGGGGGTCTAGGCCAACCCCAAAATTTACTTTAAAACCCTTCAAACCCCTAAACCCTAAAACCCCAAAAAAACCGTAAACCCCCAACCCCAAAATTTACTTTAAAGCCTTTCAAACCCCCTAAATCCCCTAAGGGTCCATGTACCCATATAGCATATACTTTGGGCCCAATGTACCCATATAGGGAGTACTTTAAGGCCAATGTATATACTATATGAATACATGGACCCTCACTAAACCCTAAACCCTAAACCCTAAACCCTAAACCCTAAACCCTAAACCCTAAACCCTAAACCCTAAACCCTAAACATCAACAGAATCGAGGCTTCGGGGTCGGAGCTTGGGACCTACGCTCCTGAGCCCCGGGGCCAAGTCGCGGGCGGAAGCCCAGCGCCCGGAGAAACCCAGCGACCTGACCCGAAGAGGGCAGATTGAGGCTTACTAGGATGCCCAGTAGTAGCCTTCTTCCCTTTTTGTAGTCCTAGGTTCCTTATAAAGTTACCCAATACCAAAAAGAGAGGCCTTTTTGTTCTGAGGTTACTGGGTATCCTAGCTTATATGGAATTGGGTCTAGGGTTTAGGGCTTAGGGTTTTTGAGAGTGTAGGAATTAGGGTCTTAAGGTTTCGAGATTAGGGGTGTTTGGTTGTGGGGACTTTGAAGGTCTGGGTTGAGGGTTGAGCCCGGTTTCGGGACCTGCGCTGCAGTCGGCGGGTTTTGGTGGATTCACACGGGTTTCATAACCGTACTTGGAGGATCTGGAGACGTTGTAAGCACGGGGTTCAGGGCTTGGCATTATACGCCGGCTTTCTGCTTGAAGGAGCACGATCCCAAAGGGTGCTAGGTACTGTTATGGGGGATACCTCCCCGAATCATAACGATAATAAGCCACTTACTTTGGACCCTTTGAGGACCCTGAGGCCCCAAAGTAGTGCCTTTGGGGGGTTCATATTTACAGTCCTACAAAGTAATCCCAGAAAGGAACTACTTGGGGATACTCAAACCCAGAAATGCCCCGAACCGGTCCAGCCCACGGCCTTCAAGACCTCGCAAACTCTGCTGCTCATGACAATTTATGACCCCAAGAAGAGGCATACAGGAGAAATGCATGGAAAAAGTAGGTCACCGGATCCAGAGGTAAATCACGGAAACCTTAAACCATCCTTAGTCCTAGACCAAGCCCTAAAAACTAAGTTTTACTTCTATTCTTCGGGGTGGTGTTGGGTCAGCCTTGTGCTTAAGGCACCAAGCTGCTCGCGCCGCCGTTGCAGGAAGGCCGCCCGCCGTTCTGTTCTGGGCCAAAAACCGGTAGGATCCACTAAGAAAGAGCAGGTGGGATTGCATAAGGATCCCGTTTATGATGGTAGGTAGGTTGCAGGATCCCTTAGATAAGGACCTTGTGAGATTTCTTCACCTACCTTCATCCCGGCATTGGATCCCTTTGATTCTGCAAACTTGCTTTTCCCTGACTTCGTTGAGTCTCTCTCAGATGTTTAGCGAAATCAATCTAAACTCTAAGCCCTCAAAATTTCCCTTGCAAATACGGCAGTACCGGTAGTACTTGTTTTGGCCTTGATTGGATCCTGAAAAATCGTGTTGAGATACTTGTAGAGGGGTTTAGGGGTGTAGGGGCGCAGGGTTGGGGGGTATTGAAATCTAGGGTAGGGGTTTACAGTTAGGCTTAGGGCTTCCATTTCATTCGAAGGCAGCGAGGCACGGCCGTTCTCGTTCTACCAACCTGAACACGACAAATGCACATGTGAGACACCATAACAGCAAATGTAGGCAAACGTGTACGCAAGCTGTACCAAATCCCAATGACATGGAAACCTGTCAGGAAGTTTATCGCAACCTGGCAAAGCCTATAGAAACCGTAAGACCGCAAGAGCGATTAGGGTGAACCTTTGCAACCTTACATCGAGAGGCGAGCTGCCCTGAGCCCACAGAAATGCCAGAGAGTCGCCTGGAGCCAGGCCAGTTTCATTGATATGGGAGTTTGCGAAAATTAGGGGTACCTTATTTTGGGGTCCTTATAATGAGGATCCTACTATTTGGGGCACTATATTAGAGTCCCCTATTTTCGGAAACTCCCATATGTTCGGCAATTTTAGGGCTTTGCGTTTCAGGGTTTAGTAGGGTACGGTGCTGTTTTAGGGCTCAGGGCGTCGTGGTTTTGCAAGGTTTCTATTGGTTTCTTCATGGTGTAGGACACTACGTTGTTCTGGACCCGTTCTCTGGATTGCATTGTGCATAATACGAGTGGCACCAGGATTCAGTTACGGGCCGTAAGCCCGATCCCAATAATTGAAAAAATAAACCCCTAAACCCAAACCCCTACCCCTAAACCCCTAAACCCTAAACCCCTGAACCCGCCGACCCAAAACCCTGAAGCGAAGCCTGAGATGCCGGGTAGACAAAGGCAGCGAAGAAGGTGTCGGCGCAGGGACGGATTAGGGTTTAGGGTTTAGGGGGCGCAGGGTTTAGGGTTTAGGGTTTAGGGGGCGCAGGGTTTAGGGTTTAGGGTTTAGGGGGCGCAGGGTTTAGGGGTTTAGGGTTTAGGGGGCGCAGGGTTTAGGGGTTTAGGGTTTGGGGGGCGCAGGGTTTAGGCTCTAGGGGTTTATGGTTTAGGGGGCGCAGGGTTGGAGATGGTTGTCTGCCGGCTGGGCTGCCAGGGTCTTTAGGCTTGTTTGGAGTTGCGGGTTGAATGGGTGATCGAGTAGGAACCAAGAAAAGCTTGAACAATATGTATATGTATGTGTATATGTATATGTATATGTATATGTATATGTATATGTATATATATATAATATTATATACATATATATAATGTTATATATATATATATATATGAGTTTCGGCTTATTTCGCCAGGAAAGGGGTCTGGGTTGTGCGGAAAGCCAACAGTTCCCAAGACAGCTTGAAAGCCGTAAGCTAGCCCACTGTTGCAGGTGCCCTGGCAGAAAGTACGGCATGACCAGCTGACGACCCGCTGGTTGTAGTTGAGTGAACACCCAAGGGTCTTCTTGGGATCGTTTGGGGTTGACATGAAAAGTGTGCACTCTAGAAGCTCACATAAGAAAGCTTGAACCCTGAATGTTCCAGTCCTAAACTTCATTTCTTTTGATTTCAACCTGTGGCTTTCTCGGTGCATGCTTAGGTTGCTTATCTTGACTTCCTTTGTTCTTGCTGTACGCCTCATCAGCTCCAATGCTTTAAGTAAGCTTCGACTCACGGCCGCAACCTCAAAAACCTTCCTCACAGGTTTTCGTTCAGAGCTAGACGTCTGTGGTGTTTGCTTTCTTCTGTCATGTGTCCGGGTCTGCATAGTGCGTGTATGGATTTACTATTACAAGGTATCCGTTGTACCTCCGAACTGAAGTCTCTTAAGGTGCTTTTGGTCATAAAGAACCTATATCCTCGCGGAATACGACCCTACTCTATACAAAGAGCCCCAGGATATTGCTGTGGCAGCAGCACATCCCGTGCTTATCACGCAATTAGTTTTGGGGTGTTGGATGCTTCGAGCACTGGCGCGAGCATAAGCTCCGGGCGCACTAACAACCTTCACCAAGGTCCAACTACCTCAGCTCCTAAATGTTAAAGATATGCATACCCTAAGGCCCTAGACTGTCAACTGAACCCTTGACCCTAGCCTCTGAAACCCAAGCCCTGAGCTTCAATCCCTAGATCCTATCATGAACCCTACACTCACAAACATGACTACTTTGGCCGGCAGCATCAGGGCTTACTCAGTTCATAGCAGCACGAGGGCAACCCCGTAAGATCCCCAGTACTATGGTGAGATAGTACTTGCTTAAACTCGAACAGTAGTTCCTTCACCTTTGTTAATGGAACTGCTTGGGATTTGTTGCTTTTGCCACCCTCATAGAAATCGGACTTTTCAGCCCGGATGGATACTTCGTTCTTCCGATGTAGTTGTTTTTGCTTGTGGTGTGGGGGTGTCGTAGTTTGGTGTTTGGATAGCGAGCTCATAAACAAAGCAATAAACACTACCACACGCTGTAAAGGCCCATGACAACCCCCTAACTCCCCCTATGCTGTTCAGACTACCAACCCAAAAGCCGGAACTTCCCCTCCCATTCTCATCGTCTAATCGTAGGGCCGAATTCGCAAGCGCTGACCCCACCCCATCCACCCCGAAGTTTAGTTTCAATCCCTAACTCCTAGTGCCTAAACGCAAAACCCTAAAACAAGGACGACCCTAAGCCCCCTGATAAAAAAAGAAAAGACGGTGACCTTAAACCCAAGACCCAGAACCCTTAAAGGACCCTTAAAGAACCTATGAAGGACCCCTAAAGAACCTTCAAAGAACCGTGAAAGAACCTTAAAGTCCGTAAAGGACCCTTGAAGAACCCTTAACGGAGCCCTAAACCCCAACCGTGGTTCTCGCGCCGGTCTCCGATTCACCAACGACCTGCCCCCCAAGAGTCGAAAGCCAGGTCAGAGGTTTGAAACATACATACATATATACCTATACAGCCTATACATGTACATGCTGCAGCGTATGTGTGTATATACATTATAATGTGTATATATATATATATACACATAGACATATAAATATCTAGACATATTTGTGTATGTATGTATGTATGCATGTTGCCTCAAGCAGCCGGGTCGTTCCAGGTTCAACGGCCCTCCACTTGTGAAGAGGTCAGCAAAGATGTTTTATGCGTTAGGACTTTAGGATTAGGGTTCGTTGTCTGCGTAAGTATCGTGATTTGGAGTTCTAGTCTAGTCTCGTTGCTAGTGATGCCAATCCATTCCCGTTACTTACACGAATGGGAGTTTTTGAAAATAGGGGACCCTGGTATAGTACCCTAAATAGTTGGATCCCAACTATAAGGACCACAACAGAAGGTACCCCTAATATTCGGAAACTCCCAAATGCAGACGGCCGAAGCAGCGCTTTCAAACTCATGCAGAGCTTTCGGCATCCATGCTGCAGACGAATGTGAGCTGGCCGGTCCATAGCCCTGCATTTTGCATGAGTCGTAGTACTCGTCGAGTACTATAGAAACAAGAAGCCCGAATAACACCCTCATCTTATCATTACGCCGCCTAAACCCTAAACTTAAACCCCTAAACCCAAATGCGGCCCTTATGTTAGAAGTATGCAACAGATCCTCACCTTTTCGACGATGCCAACTCTGTTGTGCCGTGCATTAGGCTCATCAGGAAGGGGCGCCCCTTTTAGAGGCCTGTGCCGAAGCCTGTGACCGAGCCACGGAGAGAGCGTGTGCGCTCTTGGAAAAGGTCGAGCGTGTGCGCTCGTTGCTGAAGGCATTCTGTGATTTCAACCCGTTGAGCCCATTAGTCAGCTACCTTTGCAGCTCCGCTGCATTGGTAGCGGAGCGACTACGCTCCGGGGAACCTACCTTTGGGTGCTACAGTGACTGACCTTGTTTTCTGGTGTGAGGCCCAACTGCACGAGACTTTTCATTCTACCTGGCCTCTGCCGACCTGCGTGCAGCAGTTTTTCCTTTTCGTGATCATTGTGGTGACAACATGGCAGACAACCAGGAGCGATCTACAATCCCCTCATGGGATGGCCAGGCGAGGACCTGGCGACGTTACACTCGAGAAGTTTCATGGTTCGTCTTGAGTACGCCGGTGCACAAACGGAGATATTGTGCCTCGCGTCTTCTCACGCGATTGGTGGGACCTGCCCGACTTCTAGCGATGTCGTGGTCCCAGATGGACTTTGACACCAGCGGTGGCACCAAGCTCCTTCTTCGTCGTCTTGCCAGCTCGCCACTGGTAAGACGCACTTTGCCGAATGCTGCGGCAATCTGCCAGCAGTACTTCAGTTTCCGCCGCCAGCCGGCGGAGTCGATCGGAAACTTTCTGGTCAGGGAGACTTTGGTGCACGAGGAGTTTGTGGAGGCCATAATCAGGCTACATGAAGAGAAGCTTGGAGTGGCCCAGGACATGCGAGACTTTGGCCTCCCTGACGACTCCGAGTGGGAGACCAGCTGGTGGGAAGGTGGCAGCTGGGGCGGCGGCGACGACTACGGCGAGGACAATGCTGATGGAGACCCTCCCGGCGATTCACCGGCAGATGACGGCAGACTTTCTGCGGATGCTGGACCAGGACGAGCTGACCTTCAAGACGATTCCGGACAACCACGCGGAGCAACCGGCTCATCGCCGAGCCACAGAGCAGGGGACTCAGGATCACAAGTCGGATCCAAGAAGGGCGAGTCCCCGGGCGTCAAGGCTCCTCTGGACGAACTGTCCGTTGCCGACTCCTTCATCATGGACGTCTTGAGAGGCTGGCGCTTATTGCAAGCAGCGGGCTTGAATGCAGAAGAGAAGAGAGATATCTTGAGTACCACCAAGAACTCTCTTGATTACTCTGTAATATCTTCCGCCCTGCAGAGCCTCTGGGATGATCAGTTGCTTGGAAACCATCGCCATGCCTCCGGCAGCTACAACATGCACATGGTGGACTCCTTCGACGACCACACGGCGTACCAACAGGAGATGAATGACTGGTGGGATGATGGCACGTGGGGGCAAGATTGGTGGTACGACGATGCCTACACGGACCACTACGAGGACCCTGGATGGGGAGATGAAGACTGGCCTCAGGAGGCGCAGTCGATGAACGAGGCCCCCGCGGATCCCGAGTTGGCGGCCAAGTTTCAGGAAGCTCAACAAGCGGAACGGGTCGCCGAATCCTTGGCGGCTGAGGCGACGAGGACCTGGACAGAAGCGCAACGCGCCACCCAGGCGCTCAGGCGCGACCGTGGATTTGGTATGCCCTCGAACTCTGCAGCGACAGGCAAATGCTTCTTGTGCGGTGGCAATCACTTTGCCAGAGAGTGTCCGGATCGCTTTCATCAAGGTTCAAAAGGCGGCAAGGGCTACCACCGGAACTACCTGACCGATATGGACGAGAGCTACGCCTACTACTTCAACAAGGGCAAGAGCAAGGGCAAGTTCAAGGGCAAGGGAAAGAAAGGCATGTTCATGGAAGCTCAAGCCTGGATGAAGGGCAAGGGCAAGAATAAAGGAAAGGGCATCGGCAAGGATGGACCCAGGAGTGTGAACGCCTACTCCTCTGAGCTTTTCTTGGGTGGCTTGGAAGTCTCTGAAGTCTTCGAGGCAGCGGCTTCTCATGATGTTTCCTCGTCACCGGGGACCGGCATGATCGATTGCGGTGCCACAGCATCGGCGGCACCAGAGGCCGTTGTACGTGGCCTCATTTCTGCAGTTCTCACCCAGGACAAGGGAGCCAAGATTGAACTTGAGCAGTCCGCGCGACCGTATTTCAGGTTTGGGAATGGACGTTGGGGTCGGGCCTTATGTCGTGTACATCTTACTAGTGAAGTTTCTGGTGATCGTCAACAGTTTTCCTTGTATGCGCTCCCCAACCCTGACAACTACTACCAGGATGGTCTTGATAAGAGCTCGCTTGTACCCGTACTGATTGGCATGGACTACCTCGGTCAACATGGTGTTGGAATGATGATAGACTTTGCGAGTGGATTAGCTATGAACACCAAGGAATCCAACCCAGAACCCTATCGACTACAATCCAATCGCAAGGGACACTACGTTCTGGACATTGTACAACACCTCACCAAGGGTTTTGTGAACCATGAAGGCCAAGCTCATGTTATTGTACGTTCACCGTCCTCTGTACCCTCGAATCTTGATCATGAACATCATGGGCTCATGCTAGGCACGCTTTGGCTGGACATGACTGTGCGCGATGCTGAGTTTGACGAGCAGGAACTTGAAGCTGCCCGTGATAGGATGTGGAGATTGTATGCAGCATCACGCCCAACCTCTCTTCAAACAGCTCTTTCAGCTCAAATGCCTGGCACTGGAGGTGCCACAATTTCCTCGACAACTTCCTCTTCTCGGAGCAATGGCGTCATCGGCGACGGACCTCCACGATCCGGACCCGGAGACTGCCGCGCTGCTGGCGGCCTCTTACCAGGCCAAGGCAGCCAAAGCCAAGGCCAAAAGCAGACCAAGATCGTTCGATTCGACAAGGAGAATGAAAGCCGATCCTCGGGACCCGAGGACTCAAGCGACGCAGTGGCCATGCTTTGGCCGACACATTCCGGCAGCTCCAGAGGCCAATCCTCATGGCCAGTGGATCAATTGCAGCGTGTGCAACCTGCGCATGCTGTACACCCCTCGGAAGGGGTCGCCGGCCTCATCGACGCAGACCTTGAATGCACCGATGGTGACGAAGATGTTGGACGAGCTACGCGGGCATCTGGGGACGACCAAACCTACGGCGAAGATATGCCTGCATGCGATGAACAAGATCACCGCGGAGGCCGTGCTGGAGAAGTCGATCAAGGACCTGCTGGAGAAGAAGACCACGGCGAACATCACGTCGCCGACCAGTACGGCGTGGGGAATGGTCGACGACGAGGAGCTGGTGGCGGCCTACGAGAACGAGGCTCAGTGAGAAAGGATGCGGCGCACAACCTGAAGCCACGGCGCATCAACTTGGCCAGTGGGTACGATCTGTACCAGACTTCGACATGGGACCAGCTACGTGTACTACGACAGCGGCACCGACCTCGACGACTGTGATTTTCGCTACCATGCACCAAGTGGTGCGCATGGACGTCTGTGAACTTCAACACCCCAGACCGCAAGGACAAGCTTGAAACAGCTCGTCGGCGAGAACACCGACTGTTGTGGAAGGCCAACCAGTTCATCAAGGAGGCCCTGGACGAGGACCCGGAGACCCAGGTGTACTTTGAGTGGCCACATCCATGCTTTGGTTGGAAGCAAGAACCCATGCAGGACTTGGAGCGACACCTGGAGGTACATTCAGTGCCTTGGTTGTCGTGCCGAATTGATGGTTGCAACTACGGCATGAAGGACCTGAAGGGTGAGTTCTTTCTCCAGAAGAAATGGTTGATCAAGACAACGGATGAGAACTTTCACCGCGTTTTTCGTGCCAAGGTGTGCCCCGGCAATCATGGACAACACGCCTACATTCAGGGCACGGAGACAGCGGCCACCGCGTACTATCCCTGGAAGCTTGTTCAGGCCATCACACGGCATTGGCGACAACATGATGATCTACGACTTCTTTCTCTACGTGAAGACCAACCGGCCCTATGTGAAGATCGAGGTGATGAACCAATGGATTGCAATGAGGTTTCGTATGAATTCCTTGAGGATCTTCAAGTGACAGAAGGGGAACTGGAAGGATTAACCTCGTCTTCAAGTGAACAGTGTGTCTCAGCGGGGGGACTGGAAGGATTAACGTCGTCTTCAAGTGAACAGTGTGTCTCAGCAGGGGTCCTTGATACCGATTTAGTTCGTCAGTACATCAAGCAGGGTGCCTTTGATCTGGAATCGTTGGAAAACGTTCTGATGGCGTTACCAGATCACATCAACAGGTCGTCGACTGTGCGTACCAGATGGGGGTCAGGTGATCGGAAGTCCTTTGTGCTGGGCGCGTACTCTCATGGCAACTTTGGCGGCATCACCATGAAGACCCAACAACTTGCTGAGGTGACCAAGTTTGTAAATGCCGTTCTACGACGACAACTTCCACAAGGAACTTGGTCCAGCATCATGATCTCCTTCAACTGCCCAGCTATGCCTCACCGTGACTTCCATAATCTCAAGGGCACCACCAACTACCTGCTGGGCCTTGGAACCTACTCGCGAGGAGGCCTTTGGATTGAAGGAAGACATCCTGTACTACCAGCTCAACGACGAAAGACGCCCGATGGTCGACTTCGTGAAGGATATGTTCTGCCTACGTATCACCGACTCGTTGCCTTTGACCCTGATGGATGGCATGCTTCTGAAGGGTGGCAAGGCTTCCGCATTGCAGTGTCAGCCTACACTACGCGAAAGGTGGTTGATTTGACTGAGGATGAGCGACGGCGTCTACGGCAACTCGGCTTTCCTTTGTCATCAACTTCATCTACTACCACAATGGCCTTGAATGCGGCGGAAGCCCCGGATATGGTCCTTCCCGATGGAGTGACGGCGGTGGAGTACAAGAACTGGGAAGCTCAGGTGGCAAAGTTTCACAAGGCAGCGGGCCATCCTACCAACCGCAACCTTGGACGAATAGTACAGGAAGCGGGGCATCCTCCATGGAAGGTTTCAGTGGCCCTGAACCACGTTTGCCCGGCATGCCAGAGTTTGAAGCAAGGTGGAACCAGCTCTGGACAGATACCACCGGCATCTACGCACCAACAATATGCTGCTTGGGAGGCCGTTGGGATTGACATCGGTGGGGTTGTTCCCTCCTTGCGTGTGAAGGTCAAGTTTGCAGTGTTTGTGGATATGGCAACCAAACTACGAGTTGTGCATCCTCTACAGAAGTACGAGTTGCTGGAGATGAAGGCCGAGAGCACCAAGGACATCATCGCCTCCTTCTCTGAGCGATGGTTGTCGTGCTTTCCAAAGCCGAAGGTGATTCTACTAGACTCTGCGAAGAGTCTATCATCAGAGGCTATGCATGATTTTGCCTCCAACATCAACGTTCTGGTTCATTTGGTGGCAGAGAAGGAACACTGGGCTCATGGAACCATTGAGGCGGCAGTTCAGGACATCAAACACACCGCCTCGGCGATCCAGCTGGAGAGTTTGGAACAAGATCCCTTCGTCACCCTCTACTTGGCGACGTCTGCTCTCAACAGCACGGAGTATACGGCGGGCTACTCCTCATTCCAATGGGCGTTCGGGAAGAAGTACAGTTTGAGTGATGAAGATGTGCGAACATTCCACAACATTGGTTCTGATGTGGACTACGTCAAGTTGGTTACGGCGAGACAGGAAGCAGAGACTGTGGCACAGAAGACACGAGCAAAAAGAGTGTTGTCCAAGCTGGGCAACACCACTGTGCGACAACCTTTGCGAACCTACAGCCCTCTCGACCTTGTCAAGGTCTGGCGGAAAGTTTGGCCAAAAGAACTACACGTTGGACCACGCGGAGGCTATCGAAAATCTGGACGGCCACACTGGATAGGCCTGGGAGAGTGGTGTTTACGGAAGTCCTACCACATCAACAACCAGGCGATCAACGACGACATGTGGTGTGGGTGCTGATCGGCACCCAGCTGTTCAGATGTTCAGCCCACTCCGTAAGACCTGTGACGGAGACCGAAAAGTTCCAGTACGAGAGCGCTGGCGTGGACCAGCCCTTCGAGTGGAAGTCCTTGGATGACTTCCTCCCCAGCAAGGAGTATCACGACTTGATCGACTACGAGCCAGGAGAAGATGAAGTTGAAGTTCCTGACCTACCTCCTGAACCCGATCGAACTACTGTTGTCAACCCGCCAACAAGACGCGTTCGACAAAAGACACGACCACCTGAACCAATCATCAGCGATGAGGAAACACCAGGTGCGGCATCGACCTCTACATCTACGAAGCATCCTCAAGACGTAAATGACTACAACACCCCGGAACCCAAAAAGCTCAAGACTGGTGTCGCAAACGATGGCGACTTGGACTGGGTTGAGATGCTACATGCCGAAGCTGAGCAAGAAGCTCAGACCATGGATGTTTTCACGGCCATGGACGATACCGAGGAGTTCCTAAAGATTGAGTTTGACATTGGTGGTGATATGTCGAATAGACAGCGGTAACAACTGATCAGGAACCCCCGTAGCGTACATGGTAAAGAAGATGCGGGACAGTGAAGTGGTTCTTGCAAAGCTACCTGAACATGAACGTCAACTTTTCTCACGTGCGAAAGCCAAGGAGGTTGACAGCTTCATATCCAATGAGGCTGTCAGAAAGTGCAAGGACAATGCGGAAATTCGGCATGCCTATACCTCCAACCGCATTGTCAAGGCGCGATGGGTGCTTACGTGGAAACAAGTTCCTCCTGAAGATCGCGACGCTGCTCGAAAGGACCAAAAGGAAAATCCGGCGACTCTTCATGGGCGAGATGGTGCGGTTAAAGCCAAGGCCAGGATTGTGCTGCTGGGATTTCAACACCCGAGCTTGCTGGACCCCACCTTCAAGACAGCCAGTCCAGTGCAGTCATCCCTCGGGCGACATTTGTTGTACTCTATGGCAGCGCATCATCAGTGGGACCTAGAAGGATTGGACTTGGCGACGGCTTTTCTTCAAACCAAGCCCACTGAAGCAGATCAGGAGTTGTGGACCAGCGGCGTTCAAGAACTACGCGATGCTTTGGACATTGGTTCCGAGGGGATCATGCGGATCTTACGGAACATCTACGGATCAACTACGGCACCCCGTGGACTGTGGCTTTCCTTGCACAAGAGACTCACTGAGTTGGGTGCGCAAGCTGTCATTGGTGAAAGGTGTCTTTGGATATGGCTTTCAAAGACACGAATGGATGGCAACAATCCCCAAGTGATTGGCGCCATGGGAGGACATGTTGATGACTTTCACCGGATTGGTGATGGCAGCCCAGAGTGGCTTGACATCAAGAAGGAGATCGATAGCGCCTACAAGTGGGGGATGGCGAAGACAGGGTCCTATCGCCATGCGGGCACAGATGTCACAACTGTGGTGGACGAGAACAAGAACAAGAAGATCGTAGTGGACCAGGACTACTACATCGAGACGATCATGGACGTTGAGATCGAGGCCGACCGCATCCGCACGGACGAGCCTTTGACCAAGCAGGATGTGGACGCATGTAGAACCACACTCGGAGTTCTTCAATGGGCAGCCATTCAAACGCAACCTTTGCTGTGCGCTCGTTGCAATTTGCTACTGACTGAGCTGGTGAAGGTTGGAACAATGGCGGTTGCCAGGGAGATTCACTCCTTGGTTGGCGAAGTTCGTCAATGGTCGTCAAAACTGGAGTTTCGGCGCTTTCCCTCAGCGAGACACTGGTCTGAGGTTGTGATCATCACCATGGGAGATTCAGCCCATGCAAATCGACCAAAGGGTGAGTCCACTGGCGGCCTCATTACCCTTATTGCTGGACCTGAATGCCTGACTGGCGAGGTCTGCAAGATGTCACTTTTGGCATGGCGCACTTGGAAACTCCAGAGAAAGGCGATAAGCTCCAATGACTCTGAAGTTCAATCGATTCTTGAAGGCGAAGACCAGAACTTCAGGGCCAGAATGATCTGGTCCGAACTACATGGAGGCGGCGGTCGTCGTGCATCACTACCTCCTCGACAAGACTTGGTGGCACTCATGGAAGAGCAAGTCTCCCAGGTTCGTGGAGTTGTTTGCACTGACTCTCGTGGTGGCTTTGATGCAGTAGAGCTTAACGAAAGCCCCTTGCTTGGACTTTCGAATATGAGAGCTGCCCTACAAGCCTACCAGTTGAGGGACAGTTTGAACCGATGCAAGAGTCAACTACGATGGCTTCCAAGTGACTACAACCTTGGAGATGCCCTCACGAAGAAACGTCAAGACTGCCGCGTAGGACTTCAGAAGTTTCTTGAAGTGTACAAATGGTCCATACGGTTTGATCCCTCCTTTACAGCTGCCAAGAAAGGCAAAAAGTTGGGACGGTCTGCTGTACAGCATGTAAACCGCCACAGCGAGGGCGAAACCCTTGCATCGTCGATCTTCTTCGGGGTTGGTGCAACAGATCCTCACCTTTTCGACGATGCCAACTCTGTTGTGCCGTGCATTAGGCTCATCAGGAAGGGGCGCCCCTTTTAGAGGCGTGTGCCGAAGCCTGTGACCGAGCCACGGAGAGAGCGTGTGCGCTCTTGGAAAAGGTCGAGCGTGTGCGCTCGTTGCTGAAGGCATTCTGTGATTTCAACCCGTTGAGCCCATTAGTCAGCTACCTTTGCAGCTCCGCTGCAAAGTAAGACCCCCCCAAAACCCCCAAAGTCCCAGGGTTCTGGGCTTAGGGCCTCCCTAAACCCTCAACCCGAAGCACGGACCCCAGGGTTTAGGGTTTAAGGTTTAGGGTTTAGGGTTTTAGGGGGTTAGGGTTTAGGGGTTTAGGGTTTAGGGTTCAGGGTCCCAACAGCCCGAACACTAAGCACCGATCTTCCAAGCCCGCAACTCGAAGCGCGAGGCCCGAAGCCTTCACCACTGCCTGAACCCCATTTGGAGGGTCGGGGGACTTGGTAGGTAGTAAGTCGACTTATAAGTACCCTAAAAGGGCCCTAATTGGGGTTATGGTACTTATAAGTCCCTAAAACAACCAGTTAATGAGTCCCCCGACCCTCCAAGTATTCTTAAGGGCTGACCAGACACCCCCAACGGCCCTTGAATTAATAGTGGCTATTTTGGTGTATAATTACAGGGTAGTTGGGGGGTCTAGGGAGTAGGTAACCTTTAACATTTTGGGGCTTATATAATCCTACAGAAGGTTAATCTATTTTTGGGCTAGGGTATTCAGCCCCTAAGTATACAGCCTAATTTGTAGGATTCCTTACCATGAGTTCCTTATATACTTGCAGGGTCGGGGGACTTAGTAAGTAGGTAGTAAGTAGACTTATAAGTACCCTAAAAGGGACCCTAATTGGGGTTATGGCACTTATAAGTCCCTAAAATAACCAGTTACTAAGTCCCCCGACCCTCCAAGTAAGTCCTCACAAAGGGGAGGCTATTCGGAAGGTAAGGCCTAGGCACTGAAGAAACACTAAACCCTAAAACCTAAACCCTAATTTCTAAACCCTAAACCCCAAGACATAAACCTTAAACCACAGTACGGGCCGGGCCGTCCTAAGATGTCTAACCTGGCAGGAGTTATCTGACTCGCCCGCAACGCAGGGACTTTATTTCTACCGGTTTGTACACTGATCAACTCAAAGTGTCCGCACTTAAACCCTTTAGAATGCACGCCAAAAAAATCACTAGAAGACAATTGGCCCGAAAGCATCATCAGCGAAGAGTGTGGGGCTATGTGATAGATCCAGTGTATAGGATCGTAAAGTCACAGAATCAAGAGTCATAGAGTCCATGAGTCATGAGTCATAAAGTCATAGAGTTGCAGTGACATAGCGTCATAGAGTCGTAGTGAGATAGAGTCAGTGTATAGGATCGTAAAGTCACAGAATCAAGAGTCATAGAGTCCATGGGTCATGAGTCATAAAGTCATAGAGTTGTAGTGAGATAGAGTCACAGAGTCGTAGTGAGATAGAGTCAGTGTATAGGATCGTAAAGTCACAGAATCAAGAGTCATAGAGTCCATGGGTCATGAGTCATAAAGTCATAGAGTTGTAGTGAGATAGAGTCACGGAGTCGTGGAGTCATCTTTGTACCATACACTTGACTCGATGTAGTTCACTCTATGCCCTGTGTGTGGGAACGCTTAATCAAGATCCGCCTAGCGTGAGGGCTCAGAGCCTGACTCAACAGGTCAAGTGGCAACTTGTCAGAGGGATTGGCAAATGCATAATATATGGATACTATACATATAAATATATATATATATATATATATATATATATATATATATATATGGAAATGTGCCTGGCCAAGAACTGGCCACTCGTCCTTGGCATTCCTGCCTCTCAAGTTATGAAGGGTGGAACGCCTCACATCGTCCTCATTGTACCAGCGGAAACACCAGCTGCAGAAAATGGCGTTATTGCAAGAAGCTTCACTGACTTCACAATAATAGAGCTGCGAATGAGGACAGAGTCACAGGTGACTGACTGGTCTCTGATCAGCCATGGCACATCTTAAAATCTTCCTGAAGACTTGGCTTTTTTTACACACACGCACATTCTTCTCGTGGCGGCGTCGTTGCTTGCTTGCTCTTTCGCAAGACAGCGTCGAAGCAAGCAAGCAACGTCCCAAAGACCGGCATCGGAGAGGCGGCCTGAGGAGGTGCCGGGAGAGGTCATCCCAGGGATTACGGTGGTCCGGAGCCTCGTGAAAATGGCTGATTGTAGTTGCAAAGGTTCGTCGGGAGCCCCGAGCCTCCATAGCACGCATTATACCAAGCCAGGGTATAGGGGTATAGTATCATGGAAGAAGAAACATAGCGGCAGCTGACAAACATCCCCAAACGGAAGCCGCAACACTGGTCTCTGAAAGGAGTCGGGAATTAGGGTTTCGCTCTTCATCTCAAACCACAAAAGGCCAGCGTATGTTACTTAGCCGATTCAACAGACTCCACGGGAACGCCAGGGGCTTATGGGTCCTTAGGCCTAGTAGTAGGACTAATGCAGGGATCATGGTGGTCCAGAGCCTCCTCCAGAAAGATTGATTCTAGCTGCAGACATTCATCGAGAGCCCCAGGCTTCGGTGGTGCAAGGAGAAAGCCTCTACAAAGCAGGAGGAAGCTCCGAGCCTGCAGGTCATCGACCAGGCAGCCTGCGAGTCAAACGTGTGCAAGGAGAAAGCCTCTACAAAGCAGGAAGAAGCTCCGAGCCTGCAGGTCATCGACCAGGCAGCCTGCGAGTCAAACGTGTGCAAGGAGAAAGCCTCTACAAAGCAGGAAGAAGCTCCGAGCCTGCAGGTCATCGGCCAGGCAGCGGCGCGTTGCGCCGTCGCAAGACAGCGTACGCGCCGTACAGGCGCATGAATATATGTCTATCTATCTATCTATCTATATATCTATTATCTATCTATCTATCTATCTATATATGGATAGATAGAAAGATAGATATATATATATATATATATATATATGTGCGTATATTATCGATATATGCATCTGCCAATCCCTCTGAAGGGTTGCCAA